GTCGTTTGGCATTCCCTTATTAGGTGCTTTATTACTATTGATTATATCCCATATTGCCTTTGACTTATTTCCCGAAGAATTAATTTTCTTCAGAATCTCACAGGATTTTCGATCTTTTATAGCCTTGCGATAATATTTTTTGAGGTTATTATAATATTGCCTCAGAGGATGTTCAGAATCGAAATTCTTTGTCGTATTGTACAGATCAAAGAGTTTGTCCTTGATCATCATCAAATCGTTGCTCAAGGAAAGTTTCTTTTGACAAGGTTCTTTTATCTTTTTTGTTATTTTTTGAAAGGATATATCAAACAGGTATTTTAGTTGATCGTAGAAGCCCTCAAATTTTTCGTCAAGATCATCTGTAGCCAGCATATCTGTCCAAGTCTCCTTAGAAAGAAGGTGCCTGAAGACCATCTTATTACAGTCATTAAATTGCCTGTAGACTATAGTTTTCCCACCTGGAGGTTTCCTACGTTTAGGAAAAGGTATTTTAACAGTTTGCGCGTAGTGATCCGATAGTGTCGAGATGACTACCTCACTTTCAAGGCTAATACAGTTTGTGAAAATGTGATCGATTAAAGTTTTGGAATGAAGTGCTTCTCTGGTGAAGCTTCTGACTATGTTGGATAAACCGTGTGAAGTCATGATAGCTAAGTACTTCCGAACAAGGAAGGACTCCTTTGCCAGGTCAATGTTCATATCACCCATGACTATAACTGTATCGTGGCCTTCCTCTAGTGTATCCAGTAAATCTGATATGCGATCAAAGAATTCATCATAATGAGTACAAGGTGGTCTGTACACTGCGACAATCAGATATTTCTCAGAGGGATTAAGGATAACCGATGTAGCTGCAAACTCACAGATGCCTTCTTCACAAAACTGTTCGCAGCTGAGAGCTTTACATTCTACATTTCCTCTGCTCCATATACCAACTCCACCTCCATTCATGTTAGATCTACAGAATGATGCAATATGGACGAAGTTATGAATGCGCAGATCCTCTATCTGGAATGTCTTCAGGGCGTGTTCTGTTAGACACAGAATGTCTGGCTGTTCATCTTCAATAAATATTTCCAACTCATCTACTTTACTGAAGAGACCTCTAATGTTCTGGTGGATAATTTTTTGAGAGTGAATGCCTACGCACTCAAAATCCCCCTTAGGAAGTGACCCCAGGGGACGCCCACTGGTCTGCGTGCCTCCCCTAAAAAATGGCTATTTGTGATTGTGCGACTTTTAGAAGAGTGGTAATACCGGGATGTGGAACTACTTAGAGAATTTTCAGACACATGGGCAGATTTAGGGGATTTAGTTGACTTGTATAGCTGATTTTCAAATAGCATTGATGTGATACTTGGAACAGGGCCTGATACAGGATGAGATACCTTGGGCACGATGGGATTGTGTATGTATTTTGTAAGGAGCTCCGCAACCAACGCTTTACCTTTAGAGTTAAAGTGGAGTCCTTTTTTTGTGTAATTGGGGCGGGTCAAGGATGTTACTGGGACAAAGGATACGTTCTTGTAGGATGAGGTTAAGGATTGGATTTTATGATTGATTGTAGAAGTTACTTGATTCAAATCGGGGAAATCGTATCTGGTAGGCAGACCGACTACGAGAACACTCGGTGTAGACACACTTTTTAAAATTTCATCAAGGGACTTATCAAAGTTGCTACAGCATCCGTTCACATTAACATTATTAGTACCTCCTATTATCACAATGAAATCACTTGAATCAAGGCACTTTGACCTTTCTTTTACCCCCTCTAGGACCTGTTCCATTTTTACCCCAGGTTTTACAAAGCCGTCTACGTTGTACAAGTTGTTCAGTTTACACTGTAGAATACCTGAGAGGTGACGTCCGTGACTATCACTAAAAATTTTGACAACAGACTTAGATTTAGTATAATTAGATTTAACATGCTTTATACTAGACACTTTCTTAAGCACAGGAGATTTTGGGGACTTAAGTCTAGGGCTTCCAGGTTTTGGTTTGCAACTTGTCACCTTATTGGGCAAAGGTAGGGAAGAGTGAGAAGTTTTGTCAGGAACAGGCAAGAGATCATCACCTGAGGGTGCCAGGGAAGAAAACTTGTTGCTAGTACCAACGGCAGATGGTGCAGGAGGGTATTTCTGAGAGGTAATGTTTTGTTTGCTTTTTTTGTGGTGAACTATATGTCACTGATTAGAATCTACTCGTTTTAAAGTCAAGGATAAGGGTTTTCTGGAATCACTAGTTACAAGTTGACTGGCGGTATTTTCAGGCAAAGAAACAATATCATTACCATCTACTACATAGCCATCAGAAAAAGTTTGAAACCAACTAGCAAAACTAGTTTCACTTTTTGTAGACGTTGAACAATAGCAGTTTAGTATTATCTTAGCATTCAAAATTAGATTGAGCGCACATTCAAAATTGTTATTCTGCTTAGGACAGGGGACAGAATGGAAATTCTCTTTAGTGATACTTAACTTACTAGATAAACGCAATGCATGTTTCTCATTTAAGTTATTTAAAGAGTCCAAGTGGAAAGCTTCTTTACTTGCAATATTAACAAATAATATACTCCAATGAGAGCCATGACCAGATTTGTTAGAGTCAATTTTGTTATTCCATTCTAGACTTTCATTGTTATTGACACATAACAAAGCATATTTAAAAGAGTCAAAATTAAGATCACTCAGCTGTCCCATAACAACATCAAAAGAACCATGCTTCAAAAGCTCACTGGTACTAGGGCCCGCAAATAGGGCTTTGGATAGTTTGGCTTTACTGGATTCGTTGAAAGATGAGAAATATGCTTGGACAATTGAGTCGTCCAACCACTTGTCATTAATCACCATCTTCAAACGATCAGCGAGACTTTGAAGCTTTTCAATATCTGAAGATAACCCAGCTTTAGCTTTCAAAGCATCATTCAGCTTGTTGGCTAGTACTTGCAAGGACTTCTCCTTTTCAGATAACATTTCTTTGATGGAATTGTTTGTGTCAGAAGGACACTCAACTGAGTCAGACAAAGTGTCTTCATGAGAAAGAGCTGTCTTAAGGACTTCATTTTCATTCTTAGCCTGAAGTAAAGAGGCTCTTAAGCTCTCAATATTACTTTGACAAGAGTTTAAATCCCTAGTCAGTGACACGCACTTTTCATTAAAAAACCAGGCTTTACTCACTAGTTGCACAAATAATAACTAAACACCATGGTGGAAGAAGGCAATGCAATCAGGTGATTTTTTGTTTGCAATCTGGGTGAAGTCAGCCACGGCCACCTTACCTTTATAGTAGTTTACGCAAAAGGCTCGTACCTTAAATTTTCTACTCGTGTCGTTAACACTATTTACGCGAGTTACGTACACTACTTTACCTTACTAAAAAATTGTTTTAATTACTAAAAATCACTACTCACAACTTCTAAGAGAGGTTATGTTTTTGTTTATAACCTCTAATTGCCACTGACAGTGATGCAACGGAACTTTGTATTTGTATCAAATACTAATTGCAACAATCAACAATTAAATTGGCCTGAACAGCTGATTAGTTGAATTTCGAATCATTACAATTTTGCTTCTCCTCTCTTAATCCTTGAACCTCATTGGTCCGTTACCCGTGTTGTTATGAGTAAAACTATGCTGTTATGAAAGTAAACAATGCTGTTATGAGATACTTTTCAATTCTAAGAACTCTACTGAAACGGCTACTTTAAAAAACGGTCGTAGGTAAACTAGTAAACAAAGAAAAGTAAAAACAATTAGCAGAGTTAAAGGTGGCCGTGAGTCAGAACATGACGGGAATAGCACACCTATATGTTTTTTCTGATTCTACTATAAAAACTGTTAGATGCCATTTTTTGTTCTAAGGACGCTAGGCACGAGCCTGGGATTGTTTTTAACATTACTTCAGGCTAGACCTAGGGGTTGCGACATTATCACTTAGATAAAATCCATTGGTGACTTGGCGGGGTTCGAACCCGGGACCTCAGGGACTGAAGTCCCGCGCTCTAACCACTACGCCAGCTCGCTCCCCAAAGTTGCCATTAGCTGTATGGGCTATTAATTAACAGCTAAATAATATTTTGTATTGAGTATATTCTGTCGTTATAACTAGTATGATGATGTCTCTTGTAATGTTAGTCTGTAACTATTTACTGTATCCATTTATTTGTTTATTCTGCTTGTTCATGCATGTATTATTTTGTAATGAGTCGGATCATTCAATGCAATTTGAAACCTATTTTTTCTAGTCTTGTGTATTAATTAACAGCTGTGTCTAAGGAATGTCGGCCTTAGTCACTAACAAGACTACAAGATTGCGTCACTCATCCTGCTCTCATCTCCATTCACACGTGGCTTAAAATACCTACTATGTATGGTCGCCTGGTCGCCATTTCATTGAACAGTATTAGCAGTATGTAGGCTATATTGTGCCATGTAATTGCAATTCTTGTATTTACGTTTGCAAACCATCTTGCTTTGATACATATTGTTTAATGGAATTTGCCGTAGGAATAAATAAATAAATAGAACATTTTAAAGAGCTAAAAAAAAAAACAATTAATTTAGTATACCAAAGTTTTTTGTACCGTTATTTGTTACGGAGAAAATTCAAAAATTGCAAATTTAAAATTCCCATATGTTAATTCTTATAGAGACAATTGTAAAATGTTGTAGTTTGCTTGTTTATGGAAATATTTAGATCAAACTTGGCAAATTTATTTATTTTATACTAATCTACTAATATTTTACTAAAAAACACACTTTTATTAGCCTTCCTGTAGCAGTAAACCTAGGTAGGGTACTCGTTAAACTTAATATTATTTAAATATATTTAATTTAAAATCAATTCAGTCAAATAGAAATTCGCTTAGTCTGCAGGTTTGCTGAAGGGTATTACCTTCCTCCATTATATATATTTTTTAAACATCGCATATGTGTGTAAACATAGATAGGATAAATGAAGTAAAACATATGAAATAAATAAATAAATAAATAAACATAAACAAACAACATTGTTTTATTGCTCAATAATATTGAGGTTACTCCTAAATTTGGCTAAGGTAAGATATATTTTAGAATTAATTTTATTTAATTGATCCATAGCACCATATTCTACTAACATATACAGTACCGTATATTTTCATTAAGTCTATAATGGTAGTATGGTGTAATTTATGATCGGATAAGTAATGTGTACATTTTTATATCAGTGTGTGGTTGCAAATGCTTACTAGGTGGCAGCTTCCACAAAATTGAACGAGTTATCAGAGAGAGGTGTAGCAGATGAGTTATCCTATATTGTCATTGGCCCACACCAGCAAGCTTTATAATTATTTTGATCCTCCATTTAAATGGAGACAGTATTTTGTGGTGATATACACTATTGGGGCGATAATAATAAATAAAAATAAATGGTTTCCAATGAAGGGAAGTCAAATGGTGATGACATAATTATTTTATCTCCCAAAAAGAAATTAAATAACGAAATTTGACTATTACTAAGGAATAAATTACAGTTCACAGTTACTACGCCATATCATGCTATGACCTGGACCAAGGCCTATTTACTTTCAGTTTTGAGGTCCCCACATGCCAAAAACACAATTCGTTCAAATGTATGTTAGCACGATAACTAGATCAAATGAATTCCTAACTTGATACAATTTAATATAAACATGTTAAATTACATTTATTTGAACAAGCTCACGAACCAGCGTGATATCAGCATGATTTCCGACTGTGGGGACGGAGGTTTGGGGTAACTGATGGGTTTCCCATTGTGTTGAACCTTGTAAAACATACAATCATAGATAAAAGGAGTATATAGACATATTATGTCTACTTCTTTTAATACAATTTTGTGATTTGTTTCTAAACCATTGTGTAGGGATTGAATAAACAGTTCGAAGCATTACAATTTTACTTCTTTTCTGTTTTCTCTAAATTCTTGAACCTCTATGGTCCTTTATAGTAAAACAACAATATGCGGTAAAGTGACTCTTTTCAATTCTAAGAACTTAGTTGAAAAAGTAGCTATAGGCCTACAATAGAGTGTGGCCTAGGCTCCCTGGACTGAAACATCACAAAACTAACTAAAAGGCTACCAGGCTAATTGGTTATTTTAATTTTTAGAATCAAAAACTTTTACCTTACAACACTCACATTGTTTACTTTCTTTTGCAGCATGAGTGTAGTAGTAACAGACCAATGGAGTGGGGTTCAATTAAGTATTGAGAGGAAAAAAGTAAAATTAATGCTTCAAAGCCAGGACCGAACTTGCCTATGGGAGCCCCCCCCCTTTGCACAGTAGTTTTTCATAATAAGTTAAAAAAATTAATTAGGCACTTACCATAATGGCCTCTATCGTTTAGCATAGTTGAAAATTACGAACTACTATTACAATACCGATAGTTTCGTAATTATTACGAAACTATTACGAATATAGGAAATCACCGCGATCACAAGAAATGACAGCCGTTGCCACGTTCGTCGGAAATCATCAACAATTTTGCCGCGATTGAAATATGATCCCAGATAATGGCCGCATTCGCAAAAGATTGTTACGAGTATTGAGATCATGGTGGATGTTGCCGCGATCGTGTAAGAGACTTACGTTACTGTAATTCTGGCACTGCCACGATCACAGGCATCACGAATTACGCCGAGATCCCAAAAAATAACAGAATTTGAACAAATCGCTAGAGACGATCGCGGCAAAACCCGCTCTGTAAAATCATCACAGGTGTTGTCCGATTGCCGTGGTTGTGTAAAACAAAGGGATTCACATGGTCGCTTGGAAGATCAACAAATGTAGCCGCGATCAGAAGACATTATCACACATATGTTGCCGTGACCAAGAGAAATTTTTGCGAATTTGGCTGTGATCGTAAGTGTAATGATTACGGAACTGCTGTGATCGCGGGGAATCATCAGTCACGGATTGTTGAGACGATTGAAAGAAATCCCCCCCACATATTTTGGGGCAATTTTTATATAAGAGCACCAACACAGCTATCCAAAGGCCCCCTTCACACTGGGCCACCATGGTGGCGACACCGGTGGCGACACAATGGTGGCTACGTTACATTAGCATTGATTTAAATGGGACATCTTCACACTAGTTGAGCTTTGGTGGCGCGTCTGGCCGCGCGACCAGAAATGCGGTGGCTCGGGGTTGCGAGTTTCAAAGACACCAATTTTGGTGGCGCCACCACGTCACACTACCAGTGGGCATTACTCAGTATACTAATTTACTAATCGTTTGAAGTTGTTAAGGTAATAAATATGGGGAAACGATTTGAATGATATAACAAAATTTATACTCTATTTCATTAACATCTTTTTGTCGTTGCAATGTATTGAGTCAAGGTATTACAGTGTTACATATTAATAAATGGTATATTAACTATGTTTTTATTTAATTTTCCACAACGTTAGTAGCAGTTTCTCTTCTGGGGATATGCTGCCCCACAGTCCCGTAGATTGTCCTGATATTTATTTGATCTTTCAGACGTCCCAGAAGCTCATCAAAACTTAAAACACTCATTATTGAGTAAGTGTGAAACGTGTCAGGGTTATTTCTAAGGTATTGGTAGTGAATGGAAAAAAGTCCTTCTGGTACTTATCTCTCATAAAAACGGATGAACCAAAAAACTACGTTTTTTTTCTTATGTTTTTGCAATTAAAAAAATATACGCTAAGCACCTGCCTCTTTGACGTCCAACTGTGAGCTTTGTGGCTGCAGCTGCACTGGTGGCTGAGCTGGTGGTCCATGCGCATTTTGACTGGCCACCAGTGTCACCACCATGGTGGCCCAGTGTGAATAGGCCCAAAATCGCGAGAAATCATCGCGGATGTTGCTGTAACCAGGGAACGCAACACGGTTGTTGCCGCCAGTGTTATAGAATAAATTAAACTTTCAAAGTTGTTGCATTCTGACTTATTAAAGTATCTTAATTAATTAATGTTAGTTATTTTTACATGTATTTAATCTGTATTGCCACAGATTAAAGAAGTTCTACGGTATCTATGGTATTATATAGTGAAAAATAAATTTCAAATAATCCTTATAGGCCTACTTTGTGCTATTTTTTTGACTGAATTTTTTAATTATTCGTTGCAAAGGATATTACAATTTAATCTTTGACTATTGATACAATTAGACTTCAGTATCCAATAGTCAATGGTTTAATCATAGATAGATAAAACATACCCCCTTGTGTTGGATAGTCTAGTCTATGAATTAATGCAGTATTACAAAGGTATTTGAAAGATACCTGCTTATGTGGTAATTGAATTTTAATAAATACAGTTACAACTATAAAATCGTACAATGAAAATATTTTGACAGTTAAAATCTTATATGTAAAATTACTTTATACAAAATACAGCATACTGATATTCTAACAGGTTTAAAAATCATTTCACCATTACATTGTTTATAACAGTTAAAATCAGTGTGCATGTAAGACACATTATATCCTACTTCCTACTAATATTATAAATGAGAAAGTTTGGATGTATGGATGTATTGATGTATGGATGTATGTTTGTGACAAGTGAACGCGAAAAATACTGGTCGGATTGGGCTGAAATTTGGCATGATGATAGCTCACATTCCCGATTAACATATAGGCATATTCTTATTTTAAAAATCCTTTCGGGCTCCGCCCCAGTGGCTCTGGAGTTTCCCATGTTAACCTTATGAGAAATGGAATTATTAAATCTTAACAGCTGTTTCAATTAAACAAGTTGGTTCTGTTCTATGATGTCCAATAGCATTAAAGTTACAAGGAATACCAACAGGGTGCAGCACTATTATTTCTTTTACATGACAACAGCTAATTTGCAACCAAAATGTGAGTGAGCGTAGCGAACTATCTTCAACCTGGAGGCGAGTTAGCGTAGCGAACGAGCTAACCTGAAGGCAAGTGAGCGTAGCGAACGAGCTCCAACCTAAAGGTGAGTGAGCGTAGCGAACGAGCTCCAACCTAAAGGTGAGTGAGCGTAGCGAACAAACTTCAACCAGGACGTGATTGAGCCATGCGAACGAGATAATCTTGAAAATTAAGAAGTTAAACGGGGCAAAGCCCGCGGGTTACAGCTAGTTGTGTATATAATCGTATATTATTTGCCGGGGACCTCTGAAGCCCCAAGTCCGGGCCTGTTCAAAGCCAACCACTAATAACTATACCAATTTAATTGTTGACCTGCCGACTTCCTAGAAACTCACACATTGTTTCCTAAACCTTAAAACCAAACAAAGCAACTTGCTAGAGCTAACCAAAACCACGAGTTGCAGGAATGTTTATTGAAAGATTTTGAAAATGTCAGATTATAGTTTCATAGTGAAATATGACATAGTAATAGGGGCTCAAACCCATGTTATTATCTCTAACCACCTAAATCAAAGAAATTTTACAGAACAAATATATGTATGTACCTATTTAAAACTGTTAGTTGATTATCCTTCACTAATAGTTAATAATTTAAGAGATGTTTTAATTTGGTTTAAGTTTTGATTGAAATGTTGTAATTAAACTCTGTTTCAATGCATTCAGTATGCCAATTGAATATGCAGTGTTGGTCTACTTGTAGCCTATACCTGAGACAGTACTTAAAAGAATGCTGTTAGTACTTATTCCCTGAAAAAGGTAACAGAAAGAGACGGTACCTACATAAGTAATGAATTTTTACAAACATAAATTTAAAAAAATCATCGTAGGTATAGGTAAAGTTACTGAAATATTGATACTCCAAACCTTTCTATAAATATATTTAGATAGTGTATAGATTCTGTACTAAATCTTTTCATAAACACATTAAAAGCCACTTCTAAAAGTGACAGATGATTTTCTACATGGATTTACTTAGAGCAGTTCATTGACCATAAATCACAAAATTGTAAAATTTGAAGCTATTTTCTTACTGACTTAGGTATTTAAAACACTCTTTTGTTCTAGTTATGTCTTCAGCATCATCATCAGCATCACAAGATTCAGAGGAATTTGAAAAATCTATAGCTGAAGATTTGGTTGTTACCAAATATAAAATGGCAGGCCAAATTGTAAACAGAGTCCTAAGACAAATTGTGGAGATATGTAAAATTGGGGCATCAGTCAGGAACATTTGTACCTCCGGAGATAAATTGATATTGGAGGAAACCGGAAAAGTGTTTAAGAGCAGTGGTAAGAAAGTGAAGAAGGGGATTGCGTTTCCAACTTGCTTATCAGTAAATAACTGTATAGCCAACTTCAGTCCTCTCTCTGATCAGCCAGACTATGTTTTGAACGAGGGAGATGTTGTGAAGGTGGAACTGGGGGCGCACATTGACGGATTCATGGCATCAACTGGGCACACACATGTTATAGCATCTACACCAAACAATAAGGTCAGCGGAAAGAGAGCGGATGTGATGCTGGCTGCACATTATGCTTCTCAAGCAGCTCTGAAGCTCTTTAAGCCTGGCAATAAAGCTTCCCAGGTAACTGATGCTGTTCAGAGTGTCGCTATAGAGTTTGGTTGTAATCCCATCAAGAACACTGGAAGCTCAAGGTTAAAACAGTTCAAAATTGAACAAGCTTTCATCCAAAACCCAACTGAAGTGGATAAACCAGAACTTGAAGATTTTGAGTTTTCACTGTATGACGTTTACAACGTGCGTATTTGTATGAGTTCAGGAGAAGGAGTCGGTAGACAGATTGGCACCAAAGAGACACTGTACAGAAAGACAGACGAGAAGTACCAACTGAAATTGAGAGCTTCCAGGATGTTTTATTCAGAAGTTTCGCACAAGTATGGAAATATGCCTTTTAATCTGAGGAGTTTTGAGGATTACAAATCTGCAAAATTAGGCATAAACGAGTGTGTCAACCACAAATTACTTGAAGTGTTTCCGGTGCTTTATGAGAAACCAAACGAATATGTGTCTCATTTTGGTTTTACCGTGCTATTAATGCCTACAGGGCCGCATAGAATAACTGGACTGCTCTTTGAATTGGATTTATATGAATCTGAGTATAAAATTAAAAATCCTCAATTGAAAACACTTCTGAATACATCAGCCAATCAGAAAAATAGAAAAAAGAAAACTAAAACTCTGAACCAGAGCAGCACGCTTTTGGGATGTATATCTTGAATAGTTACCGGTACTGATGAAATAGAAGAGACTATATGTATAGAAAGAACATCTGTAACTGTTGATTACATTATTACTCTCCATTTTGTTAAGTAGGTGCCATCTTATTTTTGTTATACAATAAATTGTGGATCTATTGTTGTTTTGCAGTTTTGGAACAAAAAAAGAGGGGTTCACAATTAGGACACAACCAGAGTCAGTACTACAATGTCTATGTAAGTCTTTTCATATGTGCGTTTGTGAAGGATACGTGTAGAATGAAAGAGTAATCAATTATGAATTTATTAACTGATTGATTATTGGTGTATGATTTGATTAATAATAATGGTCACCGGTAACATATTGTTAAATTAGATTTTTCAGGATATAATGGAAAATCAAAGTGTAAAACAATAACAAACATTTAATTGGTTTTTCTATTTAAAAGAATTTAAAACAGAAAAGCATACAACATTGTCCTTAAATATACACATAAATATAAATTATTATTCAGTATGTTTTATTGATTGGCAAAACTTATACACTTTCAATTTAAATAATACAGTAGACCTACATTTACAAAAACGCAAATGTACAAATAAGTGTTTTTTTTTTTTAAAGTACACAGGTAAATTAAGCCTTTGAATAGATGAATGACAAATTTTGAATGGATACAGGATATTATTGTAAATAAAATATTGTGTAATTTTTGTTATTAGGACTACATTTAAAAAGTTATGACTAAAAACATGTTATGGAAAGTTTATTTGAATGATCTGTTAGCAGCAAACAACCAATATTTAGCCATAAACATTAAGATTGTAACATGTTAAAGCAGTAGATGTCGAAAACCATCCATCCTTTTAAAATAAGGACAAACTTTTATTTCAACAACAAATTGATCAAAACCTTAACAGATCAGAGGTGAAAAGTGTGCAGTTCTTTCTGTTAAAATAATAACTTCGGGGGAGCGAGCTGGCCCCCCCCCCCACATAGTGGTTAGAGCGCGGGACTTCAGTCCCTGGTTCGATCCCCGCCTAGTCACCAATGGATTTTATCTAAGTGATAATGCCGCAACCCCTAGGTCTAGCCTGATGTAATGTGAAAAACAATCCCAGGCTCGTGCCTAGCGTCCTAGGACAAAAAAAGAATATAATAACTTCAGGTTAAATTTGATGTCAAGTTGACTAAAATATATCCAATTTACTCAGTTGTGAATTAGAGAAAAAACCTTGTCAAAACAATCTAGTGCCGACTTGTTCTATTCAAACACAAACATAACTATGACTTTTCCATGGGTTTATAAATCATAGGGTTTACAAATTAGTGAGAGGTTGGCTGCTGATATTAGCAGTAAAAAAAAAAAAAAAAACTATCTAATCCATCTTCTATATATATAAAAGGCAAAGACCTCACTGACTCACTCACTCATCACTAATTCTTTTACTTCCCATTTACCTAGGAGGCTGAAATTTGTTACACTGATTCTTTAGGCATTAAATAGGAAAACTAAGTTGTTTTTATTCTGATCGGACTCTCGGTCTCCCCCCAGTGGCTCTGGAGTTTCCCATGTTAACCTAATGAGTACTCATATTTAAATGGAATTAAGGAATCTTTAACAGCTGTTTAAAATAAACAAGTCGGTTCTGTTCTATGATGTTCAATAGCATTAAAGTTACAAGGATTACCAACAGGGTGCAGCACTATTATTTTTTTTTATTTATGACAACAGCAAATTTGCAACCAAAAGGTGAGTGAGCGTAGAGAACGAACTTCAACCTGGAGGCGAGTTAGCGTAGCGAACGAACTTCAAGCAGGACGTGATTGAGCCATGCGAACGAGCTCACTTATGAAGTTAAACAGGGCAAAGCCCGCGGGTACAGCTAGTATCTTATATACTAAAAAACTTTTGCAAAACTTACAAAAATAAGCACAAAATATTAATTTAAAAAAATTAACATGGGCCTTATGGGTTGTGGTAACAAAATAACAAAATACAAAGAGAAAATCAAAGCAAATGGACGAAATTCCAATCACATATTTTATTTATAGCGTGGGTTGAAAATAGAGTTTGTACAATACATATTTTTGGTAGAGTTTCTCTAAAATGTACTCTTGTTTTTTTTGTTGTTAAAAAATTTGAGTTTCACTGGCACTGCAAAACACTTTTATAAAGGTTCAATGAATTTGAAAGTCAACTTTACAACAGTACAGCAGCTACACTATTTGTTGTGATTTTTAAGATATTTATTTTACTGAAACTAAACCACAGGATATTATTTAATGAGTGGGGGATTTCAATATCGAAAGAACAATAATTTGTTATCCTATTTCATCTATTGTAAGGGAATCTGCATTCTTCTGTATGATTATTTATGATAAAGAATAATGATCAGAAAGTTATATTAGTTTTAAGCATGTTTTTCATCTCCTAAAAGAATTTTTGATTATATCGGAAAATAGGATGGGCACATTTCTAGAAAACGACAATGTTGTTTTAAACAGGAAACAGGAAAATGATATGTTGTCAGGCTTGATTAAGGAGTTACTGTAGGTAAAGAAATGACTTTTGAAAAACATATGGAGGAAATGTGCAAAAAAATGAAAGGAGTCTTCGCAAAATTAATAGAACAGACCAGAGCCAATAGAGGCAGGACTGGGAAGAATTTGATGACGCTGTACAAAGGGTACTGAGCCAGCAATGCTGTAGGGATGTGAGTTTTTGGGTAAGGATGCTGGGAAGATAAGATTGAACAGGAAACTTATGAGTATGCAAAGAAGAGTTTGATTGAAAGTAGGGAAATTATACAACCCAGTATCGCATGATATTATTAGGGTTTTACCGGAGCCATACTACTTGACCTGCTCATTGAAGAAAGGATTAGAATTTTGGAAGACAAGGAGGCTGGTAGGACTACATCGAAAATCAAGAGTGCCAGAAGAGAGGAGACATTAGATGAGTGGCAAATGCGCTGGAAGCAGAGTGAGGAATAAAGGTAAACGTTCGGATATATGCCAAACATCAGAAGGAAGCTTGAACATGATTGGGAGATGGGTCATTATTAAACACCGTTTTGTCACTGAACATACTTTCGTATGGTCGCCATTTCAAAGAAAAGAATTTAAAAGTATGGACAATTTTAAGATGAATTTGTGAAGTATTGGTGTCCACTTCAGGAGGCAAATAGGAGAGAACAGGAAGAAGTCTTGGATAGGAAAGGTCTAGAGTGGAGAAAATCAAACTTGATGAAAGACATGGAAACAATTGAGACCTTCAGGAAAGTAGGCTTTTAAATTGAAAAAAAGAAAGAAACAAAAACAATGAAAGAAAAGGAATGAAAGCATTCCCGTTAAGGGGAGGGAAAAGGTTAGACTGAATCAAAATGATCCGTATTGCTCAGGGCGGTAGGGGGAAGGGAGTCATTGTGCTGTTAGGGTTTTGGACACATAAGGTGTGTCTGGACGAGGATTGAAAGTGGCCGAAGCCCGAGAAGAAAAAAATATTTTTTACCGAATGTGGCCTGGAAAATAAGTCCCAGACTTATGCCAGGGGTGGTGGTGGGAACGAGGGGCCTTGGCTTAATCATTTAGGTTATCGTCCGTTAATCAGAAGAGAATCTCTTACTGACTTTCACAAAAAAACTGCAAAAACGGGCTTGTAAACTACAAACTCACTCAGGCCTTTTACCATCTTTAGCTTTACAACAAAAACAAGATACCCAAAAACGCAGAATAGATAAAGATCAATATTCAATATAATACAAATCCTTCTTCTCCTATGTCTAGATTGTGCACGATTTCAAGCACCAGGTTCGCTAGTTTAGCCATAAACATCTGATCTTAGTCAGGAAATTTTGGTTTCTGATATTAACAAAAATATATACATAAGCTTGGACGTAATTACAAACTGTAACGGTTTTCAAATTTCCCTCTTGTTTTTAGGCATGCATCCACCGCAAGTGATTTCATAAATTGTCTAAAAAATGTTTTAATAATAATGTGTTAAATAATCTCATGGGCCATGAAGAATTTATCTCCTAGCGTTTTATACTTATGGACATTGTACAGTAACATATAATACTACAATAATAATTTAAAATTTTCTAGAAAGATTTCGTGCTATACTCTATTTTGTTTTACAGGAAACTAAAAGTGTAAATTGTAATTTCTAAGTTTCCATCAGCATTTTATTCAGTTTCTTCAAATACAAGTCTATCTCTCATAAGAAAAATGAATCCTACTGTGTTTGTGTTAATCAGGGTGTCCAGAGACACACTTACACCACTAGGAGTTTTTGGGAGGGGGGGGGGGAATTTTATATTTACAATTTTCATTGATGGTCTGTAAGGTATTATAATCAGTAATCCTAAACAATTTTCTGTTAAATTCGTACACACTACTAACACTTGCAACACAATTTCGGCTTTTCATAATTTGATTAAGACATAGATTTTATTGGTAACTTGAAATAAATATATAACAGACTAAATAGAAAATAACCAAGGAGGTTACATTAAATTTGACTAGAGACTATAAATAAATCAATAGGTCTAAATAATAAAATAATTGACAAAATACAATGGCGATAGACCATGCACTGACTAGACCTACTATTAGAACTTACATAGGACTAGGCTATACAAATTTAAAATTTGCTTAAAGTTTGTCGCAACAAAATGATGTCTTTGCGATTGCAAAGGATGCTTTTCAATCAATCAATCAATCAATCAATTATCAATTAGTTAAGATGGGGACGCCACTATGTGAGTATTTTAACCCAAATATGAGTGTAGGATGAGTGTAGGATGAGTGGCGCGATCTTGTAGTCTTGTTAGTGACTAAGGCCGACATGTTCCTTAGACACAGCTGTTAATTAATAGCCCAAACAGCTAATGGCAACTAAGGGACCTACAGTTTATAGTGGAATCCGAACCACATTTATCCTTGTAATTTACGAATTGGTCTAATTATCAGGATAGTACTGCGGATAGTCGTAGTACTCACTAGTGCGGACGTTAATCCACACCAGGGAGCATCGCATCCACAGTGCATCCCTATAAATATCCACAATTCGTGACCTCCTAGTAGCTGGATTACAGGACGACGCCACCCGTCCCAAATGCTACACTACAGTCATTATCATTATCCTATTGTGTCCCTAAATGTAAGCCAAAACCCCACAATAAAGTTTTAATTCTTTAATCGCAAATGCGATGATGATGTCTTCAACACCATGGGCCATTGTCAAATATTGCCACAATTATGAGAGACGATGATGATGTCTTTGTGACAAGATGTTGCCACAATTACGGGAAAGGATAATGATGTCCTCGCGGCCTCAGGGGAATGTAGAGATGTTGCCGTTGTCACAGTATTCACTGTTGTGAAGTGAGAGATGCTCTCAATTTCACCACGATGACAATGAATACACACCTTATAAGATATATTTATAAGGTCTGTATTCATTGGGGGATGATCTGGATAGGGCCGAAATCACGGATTACTTTCATGAAGACATATTATGATGTGGGCATAGAGACAACCACAGTTTTTAAAGGGCAAACAGAGAAAAATAGTTTGATTTCTCCAGTTCCATAGTGGCTAACTGATCTTGCTTTTGTCTGTTTGTGGCTAGAGTATTTAATAATTTCTGGTTTGGGTGAAGAGATCCTCCCAAATTCTCTGCGGCTGGCCACTCCAATAGGAGAGACATATTATAGCATGCACTGCAATCCTGTCAGTGTGGACGTAGTTTTCAGATAGCAGCAAACTAAAGTGTTCACAGGCCCTCAGTATTGCCAAATGGAGGGAAAAAGCAGGGGTTTATTAACCAGATGAACCACAAAAATACCGCAAAAAAAGAATCTTGCACAGTTTTGAGGTTAGAATCTTTCCACAATGCTACACTACAGTCATTATCATTATCCTATTGTGTCCCTAAATGTAAGCCAAAACCCCACAATACACTGTTCAAAAATGACTGACACGATAACATACAAAAATGAGTGATACGAAAACGAATTGCACCAAAATGACCTATGAAACTGGCACTACATGTGGTGACAATAACCACTTTCCCTGCCGATTGCTGAGCTCACACCAAGGCAATGTTACTGAGGGGAGCGCAGAATTACATTTATAGTGCTCAGGCACTACAATTATAGTAACCAGTAGCAAATTAGTTCATAAGCATAATCATATCATCATTTCAATATCAAGACTTTTTCTTTGTCCCCATAGTTTACTATCTATAGGAAAACAAATGTTCATAATAAACATTTCATATTGACAGATGAGCTGTTTTTTTATAAAAGGCTATTACTGTAGGTCTCATGGTAGGACACAGGACCGATTTACTTTTTGTTTTGAAGTCACTAGATGCCTAAAACACCATCCGTTCAAATTCAGATATACACACATATACTTCATTTTGTTTAAATTAAGCCTCCGAATCAAGGCTTAATAGTTTTGGCCATTTTTACGTTTTTTGTGTATGTACGAGGTTTAGTGAAGTCAACCATGATAACACGACTCTACATAGCTGTATGAAACAGTTCCCATGGGAATTTGTCAGAACGGATGTTCTGGAGGAAACAAGATAGTCCAACTAGCGATAAGATAACCTTACTCCATGCGAACCTACCACACACATATTTTTCAGAACATCATTTATCTTCCAACAGATCAGTGGCAATTATTCATTGCGCTTTACTGTATTATTGATTATCATTGTTTCGTCTCAAGTCTAATATTGTTTTTTGTGCTTGTGAGCTGCGAATGTTTTGTGCGTCTGTTGTGCGGTAATCCTGTCTAAACCATGACCAATGAATCATAAAAAACTTTAAGGTAGGTTTTGTACCGAAAGGGCTTAGTGAGTCTCTACCTTAACATTTTAGAAGACATGCCACTGAAAATTAACATTCTCGATGCAATGTGGATGACCAGCAAAGCTTGGAACAACATCTCCGAAAATACCATCGCTAATTGCTTTAAGAAATGTGGCTTTAAAGTCTCTCAAGAAACTACGGATGACCCAGACATTGACATTATGCCAGCACCACTGACAGAAGTAGAAGACGTAAGTCCAGCAGATTGGCGGCAAGTTACCGTGTCACTCAATGTCAAAGGATTGGAGTTTGAAGAGTTTGTGACCTTGGACGACAATGTGGAGATTTGTGTAAAACTAAAAGATTCAGACATTGTTGAATAAATTCTTGAAAACCAGGGTGAAGTCGAGGGACCAGGATCAGACGAGGACAAAGCTGATGAAGACAGTGTTGATCTACCGGGCCCGTCGTGCAAAGACGCACGTAACGCTGTAAAAGTATTGAAGTGTTTTTCTAAAAGAAGAACGATCTACCCATATGTGAAATTGTTGTTAAATCGATAACTGTAAATGATAGTGCCTTGGACTAGCTACGTAAGTAAGGCAAAGCAAACTAAAATAAATGACTTTTTTGTCTGGTAGCCTAATGTATGTACAGTACTGTATTATTGTACGATTCAACAATTTAAACTATATTGTTTTTTATTGTAATTAAATTTTATTTTATAACCTATTTCAAATGGTCACACAATATTATTAGTTCTTCACTATATCATTATGATTTGAATGCAATTATGTGTTTGCATAAGCTCTGAAATACTCATTATAAAGATGCTCAGTGCTTTTAATAACCTTGATGACACGGCTACAGGTCAAAATGACCTTAATAACACAACTCTCACCAAGACGAGCACCTCGATAACACATTTATTTTTCTAAACCCCTTAGGACACTTCTTATCGAGGTTCTACTGTATTATTAAATCCTTGAAATGTTATTTTTGGCGTGGGAAAGGTGCTGTAAGAAAAGGGGAGGGGAGATTTGTGCTTCTGGCCTTAAAGGGATGGGCACCTCTGGCGTTAATAAAGGTTCTGTATTTATAATACGAGCATGAATGGTTTTGGACACCTAGTACATAATATAATGTTCTTATTATAGAATCAACAATACATTTATATGCAAAATGCCTCATTATAAATAATTATAGCTATATTAAAACATAAATATATACTTGCTTCCCAATCATTGAATGTCAATATGTATGTATAGTTAGTTTTATTAAAGGGATATAATATTATAAAACTTTAGGATAACTAACTCTAAAAGCAGCCTATCACTTTGAGCATCTTCAGGAGTTATACATAGCAATCGTATAATCCTCTACAGTAAAATTGTTTTCAATCATTAGGTGCTTTGCTTGGATCTTATTATTTTTGCAAACTTTACCAATTCACATAAATCGTTATCAACATATGGAAGATCTGATAGACAAGAGATAAAAGTCTTATAAAATGCAAGTAGGCAAACATTGCAGTACAACTCCATTACATACTCGCGAATAACATCAAATTCAACTATTTCAAACACAATTATACAACCTTAACATAGTAATAAGTGCTTGAAATATATGACGTGTGCATTGAACTGATTATTTAAAACTTGTATAAATTTGTCACAACATCTATATATCTTACTCCCACGACACCGACTTGCAGGTTACAAAAATACACCATGTAATAGGGATACTCTTACTGTTTGATAACTTGCTAATTGGACAGCCATTATTATTTTTGTCACTGCTACTCTATAGAATATCACAGGTGATAATGTTTTCATCTTCAAAAAATTAAATAATTTTTTAAAATCTTAATTCATTTCAACCTTAAAACTGGTTTTACATAACACTAAGTTTTTTACATTTACATTCTGTTATCTACTCACAAAACTTAAGACAGCCATGAAACATCTCTCAGGAAAAAAAATTCTATTTTATTCTGAGCATAAATTTACAACTGGTCCGTCTTTCATACTTGCAAATTTTCGTTATTTACAATAGACTCCCGATAATGAGTGGCTTAGTGATGCAAATCTGACCTAAAATACCAATGAAATTACTAATATTGAACTTGAATGCATAGTTAAGGTTTAATACAGGTTTTGGTGATAATGAAACGTTTTAAATGAAGGAGAATGGATACTTTTTTTTCACACACTTCTACTTACAAAAGAAATAATATTGGATAGCGTATGCATAGGCATAGTAATAACAAAAATTAAAATACACACAAAACGTAAATATAATCATTATTTATCAATACTCGGTGAAGTAAACTTTTGCAATTAATTCTAAAGTGAGATGATGGGTTAGGTTAGGTCGTCACTGGTCAACGTACATTTTACTTGCATTTGTTTTATTTTGATATTTTGCAATTATGGTTGATCCATTTGTTGATGATCAGGAGTCTACTATACTAAATTTGTTTGTGTTGAAACATGATTTTCTGACTTGCTCATTACTAATTTCTAATTTCTTATTTACCTTGTTAAAACTCATAAACAGTATTATTTCTCTAATGTTGTAGGTATTATGTTTTATAGAATAGGTAAATTGATTCATATCAACATTTAATTTATAATGGTTTAAATACCTGCATTCAGTAATCCAATATGCTGCTTGTGGCAACTATAGTTTCAGTTGCCACAAGCAGCATATTGGATTACTGAATGCAGGTATTTAAACCATTATAAATATTCAAACGTAATCCGGAGGCTAACAACTCATAAAAATGAAATCAACATTTAATTTTCAAATTGTTCAGCTATTGGATGACCCATGCACTCACTAGATTAACTTTTTCCAAACATAAGTTTAACAATTTTGTTTTAATTCCTCATACATAGGCTAATAACAAAATACCACTATTATCAAGTTAGGTCTTCAACAAATTCGTAGCTGAAATATATCTCATTACTTTCATTCTCATACTTATTAAATTTTGAAATATTTTCCAGACATTTTAAATAAATGCTGATAAAAAGGACTTGATTTGATGTGGAATGCATCAGTGTAACTTAGTTATGGGTCCTCTTCTATTTCTTGCAAAAAAATATATTCCGATAATTGGCTCGAAGAAATTAAAATCATTACTAAATATGACTTCCAAATGACTGTGGTAAATGGAATACATGAAAGAGAGAAGGAGTGTACCTTGCCGGTAGTTTGGGAGTTGAGGGTTTTGTAACCTCAGGATAATGTTGTGGTTATAGAACCTCAATATTTAATAATCAAGCTCTGATACCGTAACATTCATAAATACAAAAACCATAGTTTCGAATACTTGGGTCAAGTTTGAATAAGGGATTATGTGTAACAAGTTTAAATATAAATAAACATTATTCATTTATTGGTGTAACGTAAACATATGTCAACATTCTAAGCTCCAGCACCGTTGACTGTTGGATACTTATATCAATAGTCAAAGCTAGCACACATAGAGCAAATTGTTTGCAAACTAGTTGCTCTGCCCGTGCTTCGCTACGGGGTGAGAATGCAGAGAAGAATAATTCGGGTTTACTTTGATAATATACTATGAGAAACAGTTACAACACACTTACCAGGAAACATACGGTATAGGCAAAAGCTCAATCCTGCTTATTGATTATTTAAATTAAGATCTCTTAATGTATTACAGTAATATCATTTTATATATTGTATAGCAATTAAAATATATGCAAAAGTATAATCCATTGACCATATGGCACCAAGAAACAATTCTCCTTGTAAACAAATTAAATTAAATAGCAGAACAGCACTTCTGACAACAGCTGTAGTTTCATAACAATGTTTGTTTCCCATGTTAATCTTATGGAGAAATACAAAACTTTAAAGGGCCCCAGGGCCTCACTCTCTAATTATTTCCCTAAAAAGAAAGTTTCCTGCACAACTTCACGTTACGCTCTTTCCAATGACACCAAAAACATGTCAATCGGTTCAGTAGTTTCGGAGGAGTAATTGTCACAAAAATCCTGCTTGCGTATTAAATAAGTATAATAGATTAACTCGAAAAACACAATTGTTTTGTTGTTTTGTATCCTCAACAATGTATAGTTGTACCTACTTTATGTGACAATTTCAGATCAGTTTCAAAACTGTTTCACTCAACCTTGAAACTCTTTTTCCCAGATAACTCAGCACCTCTACAATGTACATTATCTGAGCTTATGGGACTCTACTGTACTAGCTCACTGTATACTGGCCTAAGAGATGTCTGTTCCGTTAAATACTACTGCTTATATCAGTAAAATTTCCCATAATTTACACTTCCTAACAATGTAAGGTGAAAACTAAAAGAATAAATACTCATAACAAACAAAGTAATAATGTAAGGTAACTACAGTATAATATAGTATTAAAGGCCGATACTGGTACGTAACTTGGGAACCACTAACAATTCTAACAATATATTTGACACTATACATTTGTACGACAGAAAATACAAATTTGGCACCAACCTCTAAGTGTTGCAAAATGGAAATAAAAGTATTTTTAATTTGTTAAACAAATTAAACAAAACGCTGTATTTAAATCTTTGGCACCAAATTCTAACGGTTTTAAAATTAAAATTATTCTTCTCAAATTGGCTTGTTAAATAAAATACACTTAAATAAAAAATCACATTATAAAACTTAAACTATATAAAAAAACTTTTTTGTAAACAATAAATAATATATGTTACAATGAAATTCTTGTTCTTAACTATGATATCAACATTAGTTAACATTACAACAGTTATGATGGAATGTAAGGAACACACAAACAATCATGTAAACAAAGCAACATACCGTAGTACAACAAGATAAGTATAATTATTGCGTAGCATTTAACAACTTGTGAAAACTATTGCTTACTTAAACCATAATAAGTTACAAAGCGACTAGATTAGTTATTGGTATAGAGTACAGCCCTTAGAGAACACGATTTACGTTACTTTTGAAGTACTGAAACCTCAGATACGCGAAGTTTAGTTGGCACATCAGTTAAATGGAAAATCAGCAAACCAATTTTCATTGTATTCATCATTACTCCCCAGTTAAGTTAATTTTTTTCTTTAGAATTTTTCTCCCGTCTGTATTTTCATCATTATAAGATATCAATTAATCAATATTTTTAGTAATATAATAAAAATATAACTGATCAAACCATTCAGTAGTTTGTAAACTCACTTTCATGATTCTTGCAAAAATGTGTACATAGCTTCATTGAACAAGTTGACTCTCATCTTTAAAAAGTTGCACTAATAGAGCTTTTTATTCAATCATTTCCCGGTAATCTTTCAAAACATCAATTATAAAAAAAATATTTTCTAGTTCAATCCCTGTACGTAAAATCACAATAGTCCAAATTCCTTTTCCTTACGTTTCATCCACAAAATGTTCTAATTTGAGCGTGTTGCTTTAACACAGCCTTAGCTATTTGCCAGATTTTCCATTTACCTGACGTGGCAACCTCACTTTGGCGGAATGCTAACCCTTGAAGTATTGAGGGAACTCGTTGGATATCTCCCGAACAAGAGCTTGATCATTATGAGAGGCCGATGTATCTTCACAGAATATCCTGGTGAAGCACTTCTGCAGATCTGAGAGGCGATGCTTGTATTCACAGTAGTTGCTGTTGCGCAGAACCATTCGGCACAGTTTCAGATACTCCGAGCGGCGCTACAAACATTCAGTACATGCTAAGTTTAGTAATCAAATCGTTTATGGTTAGTTGTGGCAAAATAAAGTTTTCTTGGAAAAAATCAATTCTCAAAAAAGGGGCCAGGTCAACTTTCCACTGTCTTTTTACCATGGGATACAAGGAAAAATTTAGGGGCTGTCTTTTGTGTTTTGTAATGCAATGTAACAAAACAACAAGAGTAAACCCAAAATCTGCTAGAGAGATAACATGTATTTTTTTATAGGACTTAAACAATTATTTATTAAAATCATTATTAAAAAATACAGGGTTATTCAAAATGAATGACCCAGTTTTAACGCTTTATAACTTTTAAACTATTTAACTTACCGCTATAAAATACACATCAAACGAAAAAGCAACTCAAAGAGTTTACGCCTTCCAAAGACACATCATTTAACAAAATCAATTCAACAGAACTGTAGATTTAACTGTACAAAGTTAAAAAGTATCTCCAACTTTTTTTACCACTACAAATTTGGAGGTTACTTGACGTTTTTGCAAATAACTTTTAAATGGTGAGGAAATCGACCTAAATGGAAGGTATTATTCCGAAAGAGAATAAAATTTTCTACAATCTACTATTAAGCATTTTTTGAAAATACTCAAAAAAGATACCAAAAATTGCCTCAAAATGAAAAAAAATTGAAAATCCCCGTCTTTAATGTAGACAATAAACATAGCAAACATTAAATTTCACACTTTTTTATTTTAAGCCAAATTTAGGCTACATTTATTGAGTATTTTCAAGATATGCGTAATAGTAGATTGTAGGAAATTTTATTCTATTTCGGAATATTACCGTCCACTTTGGTCGATTTCCTCACCATTTAAAAGTTATTTGCAAAAACGTTAAGTAACCTCCAAATTTCTAGTGGTAAAAAAAGTTGGAGATTACTTTTTAACTTTGTACAATTAAATCTACAGTTCTGTTGGATCGATTTTGTTAAATGATGTGTCTTTGGAAGGCATAAACTCTTTGAGTTGCTTTTTCGTTTGATGTGTATTTTATAGCGGTAAGTTTAATAGTATAAAAATTATAAAGCATTAAAAATGGGTCCATCATTTAGAATAACCCTGTATTACTTATTAGCTTTATTAGTAGGGCCTACAGCAAAAATATGTTTATATAGTGATAGTGCTATAAAAAAAAATTAATGACTGTAACTCTTCCTTTTACAGAAAGTTTCATACAGTTGTACCTATTAAAAATTCAAATCAATGGTTTCTGGAAGTCACAAATGATTACCCATTGTATTTTCAGATACAACTTGTATCTTTCTATTCTTTTTATCTTTGTATTGTTCTTTGTATCTTATTTGAACTTAGAGGGAGGATACTGGAGTTTGAAATAACTCTATTGAAAATCTACAATCACACAGTAATATAGCCTATTAGGCAAATTTTTACTTATGAAACTTGTTTTCACATTCAAACAGTTCAATATTAATTAATAAAAGAATCTCGTTACTTCCGTTATTAAACATTAATGTGGTATTTTAGCTGATTTTTTTAATGGAATGGATTTAGTTACCCACCAAATCTCCTGGAGACAGATCAGTCAGCTGTCTAACAACGATGTCAATCAACACTTTGATGTCATTGGTGTAAAAGAGAGCTGCGGTTTTGTCTGAGCTGAACAAATCATAGAACATCTTGAACATTGGATTTTTCGCAGACGGTGAAGATGTGTACGTTCTAAGTGGGTCTTCTGTAATGTTGAGACAGTCCAATTAGCAATGTGTGGGTGGTAAAATGTATTTATAATACATCTCAATGATTGATATTTGATATTGGCTCAGAACACCTGACGATGACCTATGACTATGACACAACAGTAATCTGTACATAGGTACTGATTAAAAAAATGGTTCTGCTGACCAGGTTAGTTTTGGTAAGTTGGTCAAATACTCCCTGCGCTCTTTGAATCAAATGCATGGAACAATTCAGCCTGAGAATCAGCATTTGAATGTCCATTTTTCTGCAGTGTGTGAAGTAGTTTTTTTTTTAGAAAATATATACTGTATTAATGTACAAGTGAGCGTTTGATAAGGCATTTTTTAGGATTTTTGTAAAAGACAACGGTTCAAAACTGAATCTTGTAGCTATCTAACTTCATTTTCAAAAATTTATTTGGTCTCTGAATTACTGTTTTATATGTAAAATGGGTTACGTTACCTCCTAATAATATTATAAGTGAGAAAGTTTAGATGTATGGATGTATGGATGTCACAAGTAAACGCGAACAATACTAACATATAGACAGGGTCATTCCACGCCAAATCATCCAGCCAAAAGTAAACTTGTCACCCAAGGTTTTCTGATTTCAATAAAATTTTGCATAGATAATATATACATATAGATAAGAAGAAATCCAACATTTTATCTCATTCTGACCAAGGGCTTCAGAGATACGGCCATTTTAAGTTTCACACAAATTCAGTTTCCGAGGCTTATTTTTGCGCTAAACTGAATATTCTCGTCTTTCTATGTAAAAAGGACAATTTTGAAGACATGGGCTTCAAATTTTACTTATATATCCAAAATTTAATGCAGAATCATATTACACAAGTGAAATGATAACTGTTATCTATTATCACCCAAAAAAAATTCCTGAATACAAATAATTAGATTTTTCCGAAATCAGAACATTCAGTTACAAAAGGTTTCAAACAAAAATGTCTCTCCAGATAAACCTATAAAACTATATATCACTGGAAAGAGGATAAAATTATCTTTCAAATGGTATAATAACATGAGTGGGGTTATGAGTATTAACATTGTTATCACACGTGAAAGTCAAGTATTAAATTTGATTAAGCTAAGAATTTCATTTGATGCCGAATATGTATGATGAACTTAAATAATACAAAAGGTTCATCAATTTAATATATGTTTGTACAAATTACTAGAAATCTAAAAATATGAAACAAAATATTGGGTCCTTAAGTTGTTATTTTTGTATGAATTAAATTTTTACTTATAAAAAGCCCTAACTAAATCGTCCTATATCCTACATTACTTTTACCATTGAGTATAAACCTAACTAGAGAGTCCACTCAATGGGGCAAAGCATTACCCGTGCAGCGCCAGGCTGAGCAGCGTCGGCGGCCCGAACTACGCGACCTTCGGTAATGCAGTACATCAAGTTGCTAGTGCGCTCTACCAGTAACCATGCAAGACGCAACTCATACCGCTGCTGCGGTCTCGCTGTCGGCTTTGCGAATAATTCAAGCGTGCTCCTTGCGAAACCAATATGGTTTAAAAACTTACTTCTATGACGATAAACATTTTATTCTAAACTACTCGTATAGAGTAATTTATTTTATAATGCGTAATGTTTACACTTTACATGAATGTACCTTTGTTGTAAGATTGGACATTACTTATTCACGCCTCTGAGAAAGTCTGTAAGCATGCTATTGCTGTAAAATTTCATAATAAACCTTTTTTTAAATAACATTTCCCTTTGAGTTAGTGAATAGGGATACTTAATATTTCCATTTGATTGATAAATGTTATGAAATTATATATTTCCGCCATGTTTCAAAGTTCAAATAAAGCTTTCCCACTTTTTATGTGTCATTTCAAATTCGAATATCTGTATTCTGCTTAGAAACAAATTCAGATAGTTACAATATCCTAACTTTACTCTTTTACTATAATCGACGACAATGTATTAATTTACTGAAAATATTTATTGTCAATGTCATTTAAAATAGAATCAACAAGCGTAGGCATAATAAAAAATACCCCTCAATAATAACTAACCAACAGTGTATTTAATGCATGACGTAAATTTGCATGTTCGTTCATACACATGTATGTATTTTTAAACTACTAATTTAAAATGTGTATGGACCAATGACATTTTTCCAACATGTACTATATGTTACCGTGCTACTTTTTGAAACACACTTAATACTTCTACACTTTCTCCTAAACGTCACAGGTCGCAGGCAGTGTGGCACTACTTGACAACTTAACACGCCCTATTGGATCGTGTTTGTGTCATAAAATGGGTTTTCTGCCTATGGGTGCGCCTTTTATAACCCTAAGCCCTCCCTCCGAACTAGTCAACTAGTCAGTATTTTGAGAAGGGGCATTGAGAACAGTCGTTGTCTTTAATCAGTGTATACGTTAACTGTGATATAGGTGAACGATATTATTTATTTATTAGCTCTTTAAAGTTAGTTCCCGTTATTATTGACTTCCTGAGTAGTAGGCCTACTATTTGTTTTCGAAAATGAAATTTTTATAACAGTCTGTAAGAAATTTTCTACAATGTCCTCGCAAAAAAAAAAAAAAAACAGGGTGATAAGTGTGTTTTTTCTAGATGCAATGCTACTAAAAGAGACAACCAAGACCGAGTATTTTTTAAGTTTCCAGTAGGTAATCCGGAAGTGTGCTCACAATGGATTTTAAACTGCGGAAATGAGAGTTTGTCTGAGTTACCGGAATCTCTGTTAAGACGCCGAACAGTGTGCGATCGTCACTTCGAACGTTCATGTTTCACTAGTGACATGAGAACACGCCTGGAAAAACACGCGATTCCGACGTTAAGTGGCAATAGGAATACCAGCGATGCCTCAGCACCCGTGTCGTCCACACCAACGCAATGGACACATGGACAATGGACACCAACTCCAAGACACAATGGACACATCGACACAATTCATGCATTCATGTGAAGAATGCAGCCGAGAGCTTACAACAGGTGCCCAGCTCAGTGACGAAAATGAGCTGCTGATTCTTCACAGGAGTTATTCCACAAAAGATGGAACGAGCCATCTGACTGCTCCATCCAAGGAAATGGCATCCGTAACAGACGTCATGCTTTTTTCTTTTAAAGAAAACTTTCAAAAAATAAAGCATATAGTAGGGGTCAAGTCATCCTTGATGTCTTCAATCAAAAAGGACATTATGAAGAAACATAGAGAATGGCTAAAACTAAAGTCTACTTGCAGGGATCATCGCGACTTCGTAGTCAACTTCCTTGTGCGTTTGAAAATTATAAAAACTGTGCTGTAGACGTCCGTAGCTTAAGAATGGTCCGCTACGGAAAATCTACTACAAAATCAGTACCACATCAACGTAAACTAAAAAATGAGCAGCACTTGTAAATTTGTTCAAGAGCTTCTTGTCATACACGCATATCTCAAAACTACTTAACTATAGATCAATGAATGAAGGCCAATAACTATTTTGTATTATTTATTACTTGAGTATCTTTTGCACATTGGTGCATCTTGTAAACTATTTTTAATTCACGACATTCGTTTATTTAATCACTCAGCTGGTCTCATTATTTCTTTAATATCGCGACTATTCTATGGTGTAAATTATAGTATTTTTCCCATGACATATGTTTAGTAAGCTGTTTTGTTTTCCTTATTTAGTTTACTGTATACCTTGTAAACTTTAGGTACTTTAGGCGTACTGCATTACCATTGACTACCACGACCCAAGCGTCAGCGGCCCGAACTACGTCGTCAAAAGCGGTACCAACTAACAGTATAGCGGTGGGCTCTCTAGGTTATGTCTATACTCAATGCTTTTACCTAAATAAAGGCTTATAATAGCTTTACAAGCAATTACAATTACATTTAATGCAAAATTTATAAGTTTACCACTCTCAATAACAAATAAAAAAATATGCATTATTAATTTTTATAGATCAAACTTCAATATTAAGTTATGTGTTAAAAAATAAAAATAAAATTGTATGACATATTTAATACACAATCAATGTTTGTAACCAGAGTTTATACCAGTGAATGTGACCAGTGTCTGTGTGTTTGTCACTCCTGTGATGACATGAAACATGAAACATTCAAGTCTAAACATGAAAGGCTTGTTTCACATCTATCCGGCATGCCGTTAAACTGACTTTTAGCCGGCACTGGCATGGGTGCACCTTTCACGTTACGCCGACACCGGCACTCTGACAGTTGTACTCCAGCTTGTGAAACTTGTGTGTCGTAGGGATAGAAATGGAACGTAACAGAGCAATTGCAATGATACTTTGAAATTACTTTTATTGAAACTGTATTTATATTTGTATTTTTTTTTTATTTCATTCACTTTGAGTTTGAGTAAAATTTAATTCAATGTTGTGTAATAAAAAATAAATAAAAAAATAAATACAATTTAGTAAAAATTCAATTTAGGCTAATTCAATTCTGCTCTTGAACTAAATTAACAAGAACAAGTAGTTCAATGTCTATTTCCGACTTGACCAAAACTTTGCGAACAATGAGGCTTAACCAAAAGTAATACTCAAATAACTACAAACAACTGAACAAAAGAACACTTGGTGTACCCGACAGACAGCAGGTGCCGGTTATATGTGAACAGTCACATTGGGCCGCTACACCCACTACTCCTGCCGGCTTGTTTACCCGACACCGGCAGCCGGCCTTCGCCGAGGGGGTGCCCGGCATCCCTCGGGCGGTACTTTCCTGTTAAAGGGAACATCCATTATTATCGATGATTTTTTTCTCGATATATCGATCTTTTTGTTTTCCGATCCATTACAAATTGACAACAAGAAATGAAACTGTTCTAAGCTAACCTAACATAACCAACCATACTTGCTGTACCATTTAAAAATTCCCTTTGGATTTGAATATAAAAGGCAAGATTTAAACGCGGAATTTGTAAATGTTACAGCAAGTTTGGTTAGTTATGTTAGGTTATTTATTTTAGAACAGTTTCATTTCATTAATGTTTGTTGATACTGAACAATATCTTTCGTCATTGTCAGCTGATTTGTTTCAATTTCTTAATATCGAGAAAAAAATCATCGATAATAATGAATGTTCCCTTTAACAGGAAAGTACCCCTCGGGCAAGTGATTAACTGACCACGACACATTCTATTTATAATAATTACTATTTTTAAAAATTAGTAAATTAGTTAAATAAATTGAATTTTTGCTTAACGTGTTCTTGATGTGTTAAATATGTATATTTATATTAGATTAAGAAATGTCATTGTATTTTTATTTATTTATATTTAAGTTTGTCAGGTTAAGTGTAAGAGAGGGCCATGTGGCCCTAACTTTGCCTGGTAAAATAAAGAATTTTTCATTTCATTTCATGCCGTGCATATGTGAACAGTCCCATATACTTCTTCACCCCATTGCCGGTTAAACGTTAAAAAATTTTTATCATGGAAGGTATTGCTGCACCAAGTCAAGTGAGAACTAATTTGATTTGTACAGTAGGTAAACTGTCAGACTCTCCTTGTGAAAATTTTACTTTAACACAAGAAAAAAATGTTCATTTTATTTTTGAAAATTTTTCAAATGAAGAACTAGAAACATTAAAGTGGCACACAAATAATCAATATAATAAAATGATTCAATTTGTGCTCATCATTTTTGTTACTTTTTGAAACATAAAAAAAATTCATGCTGTGACCCATTTAAAAAAAAAAACATGTGGTATCCTTGACAAAGATTTAAGAGTAATTTCTTTAGAGAAGGTAAAAGAAATTAAAGAACTTAAAGACATAACTTAAGTGCTAGGAAAGCTTTTGTGCAGCAATTGTAGAAAGTTATTGAATGTTGTAAACACTGGTTCAAAAAATGAAGAAAATTCTGCATTTCATGATAGTGACGAAGATATTGACAAAGAGTTTACAAAAAAATTACAATAAATTTACTACAAAAATAGGATGTATTTGGTTTTGTTTTACGTTTCAATCAAGTTGTTTTCTTTTGACTTTGACGTATAATAAAAATCTTAATACAACAAACCCCACTCTTATTTTTATAACATTTGAAAGATAATTTTAAACACAAACACACCAATACACACAGACACTGGTCACATTCACTGGTATAAACTCTGGTTACAAACATTGATTGTGTATTAAATGTCATAAAATTTTATTTTTATTTTTTTAACACAATATAATTTAATATTGAAGTTTGATCTATAAAAATTAATAATACATATTTTTGATTTGTTATTGAGAGTGGTAAGCTTATAAATTTTGCATTAAATGTAATTGTAATTGCTTGTAAAGCTATTATAAGCCTTTATTTAGGTAAAAGTAATGTAGGATATAGGACGATTTAGTTGGGGCTTTTTATTTAAGTAAAAATTGAATTCATACAAAAATAACAACTTAAGGACCCAATATTTTGTTTCATACTTTTAGATTTCTAGTCATTTGTACAAACATATATTAAATTGATGAACCTTTTGTATTATTTAAGTTCATCATAAATATTCGGCATCAAATGAAATTCTTAGTTTAATCAAATTTAATTTTTGACTTTCACGTGTGATAACAATGTTAATACTCATAACCCCACTCATGTTATTATACCATTTGAAAGATAATTTTATCCTCTTTCCAGTGATATATAGTTTTATAGTTTTATGTTTATCTGGAGAGAGATTTTTGTTTAAAACCTTTTGTAACTGAATGTTCTGATTTCGAAAAAATCAAATTATTTGTATTTAGGAAATTTTTTTTGGGTGATAATAGGTAATAGTTCAATTTCAATTGTATTTTCAATTGTAATTTCAATTGTAATTTCAATTGTATTATATGATTCTGCATTAAATTTTGGATATATGAGTCAAATTTGAGGCCTCTAGCTTAAAAATTGTCCATTCTACATAGAAAGATGAGAATACATGCACGCTCCCCTAGCGTCAAATTGGACATCGGAAACTAAATTCGCTCAAAACTTCAAATAGCCATATCTCTGAAACCGTTTGACATAATGAACTGAAATTTTGGATTTTATCCTATCTAAATGTCTAAATTATGTGTACAAATTTTCATGAAAAACTAGAGGGTGACAGCCCCTGGATGACTTGATATGGAATGGCCCATAGACATATTCTTATCTCAAAAATCCTTTTACCACCAACCAGTGAGTGGTAGTAAAATTGTAAAAAAATTCTTATTAAATCTGTAAGTTTAATACCATCAACAAATGTTATGTCATTAAGGGCAATTACGTCTTTTCTTGAACCTCTAAAAGCACTAAACCAGAACTCACCCTCTCGGTTAAGTATCAGAAGGATCTTCTCTGTGAACACCTTGGCGTTGTGTCTTCTTGCTAAAGCCTCCAGGACAAGGTTGGTACTGGAGTGGAAGGGGAATTGCAAGTTGTAGGCAAGCACAACACGCAGGAACGTGTCGGGGATGACATCGTCCGAGTCTGTCTCTGGAGGCTCCTCGATGAATGCCAGAAGAAACGTCACAAACTCAAGTCCTACATGTTCTGTGGCATTGAGTGGTTGTTAGTACAGTGAATCATGAGATAAGGTAAATAGGGAGTGATTATGTTCTAAAGATTTAGGATATATGAGGCAGGTGAAGGAGATTTCATTTTATCTAAAAAAAGCAATACTTACAATTTGGCGACTGACTATGTGTGGAGTGGTTGAAATCAAAGAAATTAAAAATCAAGGATTTGAGTATTTGTTGTACGGTAGTTTATTAATGAGAGCAAAATATCGGTATCAAGAATCTATCGTCTCATGTCGATACAAGATAATAGTGACGTTTTTATAATCAAGGAAGATGAATTTGGCAGGATTCGTAAAATTTCCATTTACCGTTGATGTTGTTATTCTAATATATAACACCAACTCTGTAATTCCCCCCAACTTTCCTAACAACAACCTGAGACAATCCTGTCCAAGCAGTGAGCTAAATTCATAATAGGCCTAGTGTGTATATGTGTGTGCACATAAATATATGTTTTGTACATAATTGTAAATAGACTAGTGATATGTGATGTAAATATATGTGGCAAAACTGCATAGTTGGCCATCATGACAGTACCCATTTTGTAAACTCTACCACTCTCTCTACACTTGACAAAGTCCCCCAGGGGACGAAATATTGTGTGCACAGTGCCTCTTCTGTATGTTCTATTTGGCCTACCTACACTTTAAGGAAAGCTAGCTGCTTTCCTCCTTATTCCACAATTGAAAATCCTGGCCTTGAGCCTTTCCTTGAACAAAACTAATTTTGCTAGATATCAGTGTGAGTCAATATATCAGTTGAAAACAATACCATGTTGAAAAGCAACAAGCAGATAACCCAGAGTGTACTACAGTTCACAGACAAAGGCCCAGTTAATGTTATATATTCAGCCCAACCAGAGAGGGTCCGGTAGATGTTGTATACACTCACCTCCATTCATACTTGGATTAAAATATCTACTTTGTATGGTCGCCATTTCATTGATAAGTATTAAAAAGTAAAGTATAACAAGTTTTCCTACACTTACCTAACAATGTACATATTCTCTCACTGATTTGAGAAAGCAAAGTGGCCAATTCGCTCATCAGTGAGACAATGTTAACATTGTCTCACTCTAATTACTTTGTCTCACTCCAGATTTGCAACGTGAAGGCACGTTTCTTTACAAATTTATTTGTTTTATGGCACGATTACTAGAAAAATAATGGTATGGTCATAAACATAAACAAATAACATTTTTGGCCCGAAAATAAACATTATTTAACATTGCTTAAATGGAACTGCCAAAACATATGTTCAATGCTATTAGTATACGATTGGGCCAACAATGTCATTTGTTTATGTTTATGATCCATACCGGTATTTTTCTAGTATTCGCGGTTTTATGGTAACTGTAGGAAAAATATAATGTGCAACTCGAGTGCAAAGTGCAATCGCCTTACTCGAGAAACCATTCCCAGGACCAGTAAGGATTTCTCTCGAGTGAGGCAATTGCTCACTAGTTGCACAAATAACTATTATCTTACCCAGGTGAGTGACAGGCATGTTTTCCCCCGTGGAAAATATCCTTGTGAGCAAGGCAGAAGAGTTGGTGAGTCTGTCAATGTTTCGTGTGTTGCTCATCATGTCTCTGCGGAAGAGTAACTTATGTCAGAAAGGTATATAAAAATACAGAAAAAGAAAATGAATTAGGTATCAACTATCAATTTTTTGAGATGGGAACGTCACCTAGGTGCATATTTTAACAAAACTATGAGTGTAGAATGGTGTGAGATGATCTGTGTAGCTTTGTTATGATCAGGCAGGATCATCAATTTTTTTTTTATCAGGAACATCTGGATCCAGTTTTGAGCCATGAAAAAGCTACTGACTTGTCTTAGGCTGATCAAACTGGTGACCTTTTGAATAATAGGCAAGCACTTTAACCACACAGCTACCCAGCCAGTCAATCAAGGCATTTGCATAATTGCTCATTTTATTTCCTTTTGAAAAAAAAAATACAAGGTATTTCAAAATATATTTTGGTGTATGAATCCTTTATAAGTAATGGTCTTCACACTAAGTTTACAGTTATTGTACATTTTACAACATGGGAAGAACATAATTTGTTATGGGGTAAAAACCAAGATGATATTTTTGTAGTTTTGTTTCCAAATATTGATTAGTATCTCAGAAAAAAATACACAACAGCTGCTCAAACAATGCTGCCCAAAAAGTACGGGGAGTCCAGTAGTAGTGACTGCTCAAACACTCAATTCAGCTATGGGGTTAGATCAGGTGATTTTAGTGGGCATTCTAAACATAATTTATATATAGGCGATGAAATTTAACCAATAAAACCTTGTTGTACCAGCAACGCATAACCAAATGATGGTCAAATGAACAAATATTTTAAGTGGTTCTATATTTTTAAATACTAATAGGTAATTAAAACTGTAAGAAAATAATAATTACAATTGTGGAGTGCTCCAACCCAATTTTAATTTCCAAACATTCTGCTAGATTTAATTGCTACAGTTGTAATTGAGAACTTATCTTTAACATTGGCTGCATGGTTATTGAAATGCAATAGTTATTTGTGTAACTAGTGAGCAAAGTGGCACTTTGCTGCACACGATAGCAATGTTTACGAGGAATGATCTCGAGTGCAGCAAAGGCCTTTTGCACTTGTGTTACACATTATATTTTTCCTACAGTCACTATAAAGCATATAAATAATTATTCTTTCAAACACTATACAACACGTGTTTAGGTTCAGCTGGCAACACAAATAGGTGCCCTAGAGAAAGTAGTCACCGGTCCGTATCACTCCGCTATTTTTTCCTCGGCAAGCAATGTGCTCCGCCACTTGAGAAAATAGTACTATAATTTTTTGTAATTTGCAGTAGTTTCTGCACCTAAAAAATGCTTTAAAGGTATTTTCTTGTTTATTAAGATCGTAGGAATATTTTAAAAACGTTTAAAAGAAAACTCCAGAAAGTTCAGAAATACCGAAAAGTGAAAAGAGAACATAAACTATAAACAGGAAATGACAGGTTAAATCGTAGTTATAATAGTCAATCAGCTGCTCATAGTATTATTTTTCTTTAAGTGTTGCCAACCTATTTCCAAGCGTACACTGATTACGTGCATAATAGAACCACACTGTTTTGTGTTGTTTCGTTGGAATCCTGATGTGCGCCAAAGTATTTAAACCGTACGACAAAGTGTAAACCGTACGACAAAGTATAAATATGCAGCAATTAGCAGCTTTCTGTACTATAAACAGTACAAGGAAGCCAACTTTGTCGGGTTGCTATAGGAAAAATATTTTTCTGGGCACTAAAATGGTGACAACTTTTCCCACAAACTGTCAACAAACTTTTCAGATGAATAAGACCACCAATCAAAATAATGTTCCAAACTAGTTTCAACACTTGTGAGTACTTTTTGAAGCTAGTTTATTAGCTGTTAGTGACTATTAACTTATACACAGATCTGAAAGCCATTAAGTGTGATGTAGATTTTAGTTACATTGTTGAGTGACTCATTGCTTTAACACACCTGGCAAGTTCCATAGGCAGAACAGAGTTGAGAAGAATGGGAATGACTGGAGGATGAACAGAACACATGAGACAGAATGCTTGGATCAGCAACTGTCTGATAGGCCAACGCACCTAAAAACACTTCCAACCTTAGAAAACAGAAATATACCCTATCATACATAAAATATGCAGTGATGGTATGTAAGAGGTAGACCATGAAAAGTAAAGGTGGAGACATGCATGCATAGTTTGACTTTTAGCCGTTATTTGAACAAAAGAATTCAAGCCTAATATGTACTGTATCCCTCTAGTTGGAAATAAGACCCATGCATGTAGAATGGACATCACAACTACACTTGTCAGTGCAACATGTTAGTCAATTCAGAAACCATGTCAGTGATTGGCATTGGCCAGACAAAACAAGGGCTGCTATGACATCAATGTGACAATAGTACTCTCAGAGATTCAAGGTACCAACCTCCATTTGATAGTATTGCAGCAGTGTGCAGACTTCATCATAACCATTCATGGACAGCACTCTTCTGCATATAACTGGGTCTGCATTTTCCTGATCACAAAAATAGTTTCAATAAACAATAATACATTAACAATTGTGAAATAAAAATCTATGTAAACTATGGCTTACAATGGGTTATATCAATGATTGAGTACAATCTGTGTGGTTTAGTAGCTAGCTCATCTGTCAAATCTGCCAACTTACTTACTTATAAAGCGGATCTTTTGTAATACAGTATATCGATATGAACATTTGTTCTGAGATTCCAATTTCTCCATTTATGTGCGTAAGTGTTTAGTTCAATAGACAAACAATTTTAACTAGGGATGGACGAGATAGGATTTTTAGTTCGAGGCGAGACGAGACGGGATATTTTATTTCTCATAACATTTTGAGACGAGATCGAGACGGGATTTACCTTCTCATACACATTGGGAAATGCACATTGGACATTTTAACTTGATTTTGTTACATTTTTAAATACTTACTGATTTATGATAGGTGACTGGTAAAATTCAAAATAATAATAGGCAAGAATATTTAAAATCTTAAAAAACATCAGTACCGTATAAGAAAACAAATATTATTTAGGCCTACCTTATTAAAAATAACTATTGCGCATAGGAAACATGGTGATATCAGTTAGGATATGGTTCAACTTTGATTAATACAAAATTTTTTAGTCTTCTAGTTAGGTAACAATTTTTCAGTCTTGTGTTATTTTTAGAATGATTTTGGAGTGACTTGTTTTGGCTATGTTTAAAGAAGTAAAACATGTCTCATACAGCTTAAACTTAACAAAACTTCTCATCATTTACTATGTAAAAAAAATTATAAACATGCACATTAAGTATAAGTTAAGTATAAGCAATATTTACATGTAAAGAATTAATTAAATAACGCTTTCGCAAAGGAAACGGAACAACAACACGCTTCTCTATTGCGGGTATTGCATTGACTTTCTGCAGGCATTTTTCACAGTTTTTTTTTATAATCTCGTCTAAAAAAATCTCGGTCAAAATCAAATCTTGTCTCGTAGAACAAGATTTGAAATTTCCCAAAATTTCAAGACCCGTACATCCCTAATTTTAACTTTTAGGCATTTCAAAAGTAATAAGATAGCTGTGAATCACAACTCCCATTTGGCACTCACTCCAAAGTATGTTCAGTCCAACTGTATTGGTACTCAGCTACCTAAGGTGAGAGTTTAAGATTAAATAGGTGGTCTACAATAAATAGGTATCATTGGTAAATGAATGCAAAAAAAAAACTATGATGTTTTATAAAACTCTTTTAGCAAATTTACTTATAGGAAAGTAGCAATTACAGTAGTAGATAACTTAGATAAGGTGTAGGGCGGGATCAACTTGAATGAGTTCGCAATGATCGGACTATGGAAGCGGCGTGTTATGTGGTAAAAATTGGTTTTTCTAAATTTTGACCCTAAAAATATAAAATTTCCCATTTTTCCTCTAAACCTTTTTAAACATCTTAAAAAAACAAATAATTTAATTTTGCATATTGGAATGTTCTTACAGCTTTTGGTTATCTACAGAGAAAATTCAATAAATTGTTAATTTAAAATTCCCATGTTATTCTTATGGAGAATAAGTAAACTGTAGTAGTTTGCTTGTTTATATTGTTGAAATTTTGATCAAACTTGGTATTTCTATAATAAGCTATGAATATTTGACTAAAAATGACACTTTATTACCCTCCCTGTAGCAGCAAACCTAGGGTAGTTAAATCCAATGTTTTTTAAATAGATTTAGTTGAAAATCCAATCAGGTAAATGGAAATTCACTGGGTCTGATGGTTTGCTGCGACAGGGGTATATATTATCAATTTTTTTTATAAAAAGAGGTTGACAGCCTTTTAGAATCTAGCATTTGCCTGTCACATAGGCCCTGAGCATGTGCGTGATTGTATCCTGCCAAGCAAGGGATGATCAGGTACATTAGAAGGGTAACTGTACTGATAAAAAGTAGCAGCAGATACCAGGATCCGGGCCCACGACAATGCTGCCATAGATCCAAAGTCTGCTGCCCTGACTGAGCCACCGACTGACAAAATAATTAAGGTAATCATTATTTTCTATGTATTTGATTAACACGTTAGGTATAGGTAAAAATTATACAAGTTCAAGTGAAATAATTCAGATTTCTATAATTTGGAGTTCAGTTTAAAAAAAGCCTCTTAGGCTTATATTATGGGAAATTCCCTAAAAAGTAAATTAAAAAATCATGATACTACATCAGGTGATGCCAGTCGGACATTAACTTAGTGTGCATGGGCGGGGAGAGTATCGCTTGAGTGGATTGCTCGATCCCACACATTTGGCAATCTCTGAATTGCCGGGAATTTGGTGGATTGCCAGGAAAAACCAACAATCAGGTAGTCGCCGGCAATCCGATCAAAAAACGCCCATACAATGGGCAATATGGTCGCCGGCGATCTAATCGCTGGGCGACCAAATTGCCTAATGTATCAAGGGGCTATCTTATCTTCCCTGTAGCAGCAAATTAGCAAACGTAAGTATTCATTAAAACTAATGATATTTAAATAGGTAATACATTTTAAAATTTTAAATAAATAATTTAGTGGAATCCCAGCCAGGTAAATAGAAATTAGCTTAGTCTGCAGGCTGGGGTATTTAATTTCTTGACAGTAAGTCAACCACATAACTGACGTCTTTGACCATTGTTTTTTTGTGTTTATGTGTAAACTCTGTATCAATAGTAAATTATTTCAATAAAGCATTATCATTCTATTCTATTGCTTTTAAAATGGCATTTAAAAACAAGGTCATGTCACAATAGCATACACATACCAGAATGGATATGAGTTCATGGAGATACTCTGATATAACTGCTTCATCCTCATACAGTTCCCAAGACCTACAGGAAAACAAATAGTTGAATAACATTATAACTACAGGGTGAATAAACCAAAAGAACTGAAACACATTAGACTTTTAGTTCAGTTGGTGTAAATTTCACTTGGGTTCACAAGATGTTTCTAAAGGTATGACATTCTCAGTGTTTTACGGTACTACTATTTCTTTGTAGGCCTAATAACTGTAACAAGATTTATTCTTTACATTCCAAAATAGAAAAAAAAATGTTTGAGTAATTAGATTGTTGTAAACTGAATCATCTATTTGGATAAAACACTCACTTTATGAGCCTACTTTTACTGAGGTTACTAACTAAAGAGAGATGTCTGATTCAAATTGGCTCACTGACTCATTTAAACTGGCACTCTACAGAGAGGAATAAATAATATTATTTAATATGGCTGATAACAAAAACATAAAACATAAACATTAGGGTATCCTATTTGATTTAAACTTGTTGTAGCCGGTTTAAAAACTCAATTTGTCCACTTAACTGAACAGTGCACGAGCCAGCCCAAGCTTGAACGGTATGTCCCTTAACAAACCACCTCAAACCGCTGAACGAACCGCTGAACGAACCACTGACAAGCTGTTCTCATGATACATATCAATACGAGCCAATGCTCAACGTCACAAGGAGTTTCAACGAACCACGCGTCGTGGGATTGAGGCTTAAGGGTTTTCTGATGAAGTACAGTACATTCAAAGGTTGATATATGAGTTGGAGTTGACTTACCTTTGCTGGGCATCCTCCTTGCAGCTGACTAGTTCTTGCAGCACCAGTCTCAGTCGTTGAGCATCATGAGTCTTATCAATCACTGCAGCAGGCATGCTCAGATCTGCACATTCACAACGCTTAATTAGCATGACTGGTACTATTTTAATCACAAAAAACTCCTTACAAAACTACCCTATTTAAAAAAAGGTTGCGTAAAAATTCCATTAAGATCGTTTTTAAGTCGCTATGTATTGTTGAAACATATATTTTTCAAATATTTTACTTTCTATTGTGGTACCGTAAGTAACCCTTAACCTCAAAATCTAAGGACATCCATGTTATGTGATGTTCTCGTGCACATTAGTTATTTGTGTAACTAGTGGGCAAAGTGGCACTTTGCTGCACATGAGAGCAATCGGCGAGTGCGGAATGATCTCGAGTGCAGCAAAGGCCTTTTGCACTGGTGTTACACATTATATTTTTCCTACAGTCACTATAAAGCATATAAATAATTAGTCTTTCAAACACTATACAACACATTTTTAGGTTCAGCTGGGAACATAAATAGTTGCACTAGAGAAAGTAGTCACCGGTCCGTATCACTCCGCTATTTTTCCTCGGCAAGAAATGTGCTCCGCGTTTTCAGAATATAGTACCGTATGTTTTTGTAATTTGAAGTGGTTTCCGCGCCTAAAAAAATTCTTTAAAGTTATTTTCTTGTTTATTAAGATCGTAGGAATGTTTTAAAAACGTTTAAAAGAAAAGTCCAGAAATTTCAGAAATACTGAAACTATAAACACGAAATGACAGGTTAAATCGTAGTTATAATAGTCAATCAGCTGCTCATAGTATTATTATCTTTAAGTGTTGCCAACCTATTTTCAAGCGTAGACGGGTTACGTGCATAATAGAACCACGCTGTTTTGTGTTGTTTCGTTGGAATCCTGATGTGCAGCAAAGTATAAACCGTACGACAAAGTATAAACCGTACGCCAAAGTATAAATATGCAGCAATTAGCAGTTTTCTGTACTATAAACAGTACAAGGAAGCCAACTTTGTCGGGTGACTGTAGGAAAAGGGAGTTTCCTGGGTTAATCAGGAGTGTACTGTAGCTATACCATGTTGTAATGCATATAGACAGGGTGTCCACCAGGCCAACCAGAAACAATTCATCAGTAATTCCAGGTAGTTCAGGTCGTACTTATTTACCTTTTTACCAATTTCTGCAATGCTGTTTTAGTGTTATTTTAGTTATCGAAAAAAAAAAACTTTCTCAGTTAAAGGAACAAAATGTGTACTGTAATATTGCCTGACACAAGCAAGTTAAGTTTTAAGATCTTCTAAACACATTAAATAAATTAAAGGAAAATGAAGATGTAAAAACAAATATCAAAATAAAACTTTATTATAACTAGAGGTGTGCGATCTTGAAATTTTCGCCCAAGCCTAACTCGAGGTAATATCGTGATCATCTACGACTGTCATAGAGACACCATCATCCTCTTCCACCATCACTGAGAAATCCTGGATATCTTCCTCAGTAACGGAATTATCAACAATATCTTCCATGGCCGTGACATAATCCTAATATTGTTCAGCGGTAACTGCCCATCATAATCATTTCCCGCAGTCACAGAAACGTTATCATCGTCTTCCGAGATCGTGGCCTAATTTTAATCATTTTCCTTGTGTGTAGACATCACCATCAGCCCACAGGCACAAAAACGTCATTGTCGTCACGCGCAATCGCAGCAAAATCACTAACGTACATCCCACTGCCATTTGGACATCATTATCATCTCCCACGGTCATGGAATATACTCCGCGAAACGTGTGAGTCGTCATGCCACATGGGCGATCGTGGTAAATAAATAAAAAATTCCTGGTATAAATATAAAAATAATCCCCTTTTTTCCGGGTTAAAAAAATCAAGCATAATTCCCAGGTTGGGGGACGCCCTAATAGAATGCTCAGCCAATTTGCAGAATAAAGTTGAGTTACTTACCTCCTGCCAGCAGTGTTTGTATTGCTGAGAGGTGAGGGCTAGAGGGGGAGGGTAGAAGGTCCAGCAGACCTCGCAGTACTACATTGATAGCGACTTTGGACAGATCATAGTTGAGATGTGTAGCCTTCCTCACCTACACAAATATCACTCTAAAAAATCACATTGTAAAATAGTTCTCAGTTGAGTGAGTATGTCACAGATTGTGCTAGTGTCTAAAATCAGTAATTTAGGCATACATTAACGCAATCTGTCTGTGACTCACTTCAACTTTGTCCATTTTGATTAAAAAACTGGCAACAACTAAAACATGAGGATGGAACCTACCTTTCTTGACACAAAAATGTTTTATATATATATTGTTTGGTTTGGTATCACTTTACTTCTGATGAAAAATAGGCTTACAAGCTAGAAATATGTTTGTATACATCCGTAAAAATTATAATTTCTTTATGAAAGGTAATGAAAAACCATGGTTCTAAATGACACAAATAATTGACCCATTAAAATATTTATAAGCACATGAGAAAATCCTTACCTCCTGAACAAGGCTATAGATTGTCTCTGGGTCGTGGCCTAGAATCTGCCCGTTTGGACAGCTTGGTAACTCATCCCTTGGCTCTCCGGTGGTGTTAGTGCCACTGACAAGATTGTTGGTTTCTGAGGTTGCAGACCTGACTGGCTTTTTGGGAGCGTCTCGCTTCTTGCTCTTTGGTAAAGTTGCGTTTTTGCCCAGCTAGAATTATAATTTGCTTATGAATGATACTTAAATACCCTGCCGCAGCACACCTGCAGACTAAGCAAATTCCCATTTACCTGATTGGATTTTCAATTAAATCTATTTAAATAAGATTAGGTAGGTTTAACATGTCCTCCGTGTAACCTGCGTCGGTTTGTCCCGTATTCAATGTGGCCGGCCTATCTTAAATGTATTTGTAACTTTTGTTTTTAAATGTGTAAATTTTATGTGTCGTCGACCTGCATGTATACATTGATGAAGACTTACGTCGGATATTTGACCATATTCAATATGATGTTTTAAATAAGGATTTGATAGTGGGTCTTTGTACCCGAAACTAGTCATCCATAGAGTAAGTTAAGACTGAAGACGGAACAAGGTACGTAACCTATTATATATAACCTCATTGTCCAAGAAAAATATCTAGAAAATTTTATAAATAATTGTGATTCTTTAGTCTAATGTGTAGAAATTTGTTTTATAATTATAACTATTTACTATTGGCTTGTAGGGACATAAGTCCCTAAAAAGCTCAAATGTAAAACAAATTATTGTATAATATTCAAACAAACTCAAAATAAAATTATCTATGTGCCAAGATAGATATACCAGTACAACATATCTTTTGGTAAAACAGTTTGTTGTTTGTCTATGAACCAAAAAACCTTAATATTAACCTTAGTCTTTAATATTGTAGTTGTTGATGTTACTTTCAATAAACAATTTGAATGCCTCCAGAGGTTTAACTCTGCTAAAGGCAGCAAACATGTTTGAGAATAAATATTGGTTTCCTAAGGTAGCTTTGGTCTTTTGCTTGATTATGATGAAAAGGCTTCCCTGATTGAAGTAATTGGAAATTAATTGTCTTGCATTAATATGAAAAGGCAAGTAAAGGTGTGTTGAGATAAGCTTAGTTCTTGGTCAAAACCCAGGACTACTAACATAGAAGGGCTAGCTAGTCCTTTGAAGTGAACGTGTGCTCCCTGATGCTGCCCCGCTCACCTCGCGCGCCCTTACCTCTCCCCATTCCATCACTGTGACGTAGCAGCGGGCGCTGCCGCCAGACACTGCCATTGTAACACATGCTTCTACGCTTGTAGTTTTCTTCCATTTATAACGTTTTTTTCATAGAAATAGTGTATTGTTTGGTTATGATATTATTTAGCACGTAAAAGTAGTGTCATATTATGTATTTTAAAAGAGTTTTTTACACTATGGTGGGCTGCAGTGTCGCAATTTGTAGGAACCGCTCTAAGAAAACTAAAGGTGTAGTGTATCACGTTTTCCCAAAAAATCAAAGTTTGAAAGATGTGTGGGTACAGAAGTGTAAGAGAGCTGATGTTTCCGATCCCAAAAATGGTAGAGTGTGTAGTAAACATTCTTTCGAAAGTGATTATTTAGACGATTAAAAAAACCGACTTCTCAGATTACCAAAAAGAAAAATACTGAAAATAGTGCTGTCGAATTTGCTAATTTAGAATATAAAAAGGTAGGTGATTGTTTTAATGAAAGAAAAATAAGGCAAGAAAAAAGAGGAATTAGAAAATCTGCTCTTGAAACATTAAAAGCTCTTAGCCCAAACAAAAGTAACCTGCGTAAAATAATCAATACGCCAATTACAAGCCCAAACAAAAGTATAGAATCAATAAATGTGAAAATCTGATCCCTTTCAATGATTTAAACTTGTTAACACGTTCAGTGCTGACTACATCAATTGATATAGTCCCAAAAATGGTAGAGTGTGTAGTAAACATTCTTTCGAAAGTGATTATTTAGACGATTAAAAAAACCGACTTCTCAGATTACCAAAAAGAAAAATACTGAAAATAGTGCTGTCGAATTTGCTAATTTAGAATATAAATACCCCCGCCGCAGCAAACCTGCCGACTAAGCGAATTTCCATTTGTCTGAATTGATTTCCAGTTAAATATATTTTAATAACATTAGGTTTAACGAGTACCTAGGTTTGCTGCTACAAGGAAACTAATAAAGTGTGTTTTTGAGTAAAATATTGATAGCTTAGTACAAAATAAATAAATTTGCCAAGTTTGATCAAAATATATCCATAAACAAGCAAACTAAGTACACAACATTTGACAATATTCTCCATAAGAATAATATGGGAATTTTAAATATACAATTTTTTTAATTTTCTCCGTTACTAATAATTGAACAAAAATACTTTTATATACTAAATTATTTGTTTTTTTTAAGCTCTTTAAAAAAGTCTAAAGAGAAATTAAAAATTTTGTATTTTGAGGGTCAAAAGTGAGAAAAACCAATTTTTACCCCATAAAACCCCCCGTAAAGCCCCGTTCCCATGGTCCGATCGTGCTGGTTCGCGAACTCATTCAAGTTTATCCCGCTTTACACCTTTAAACCAAATTTCATCAAAATCGGACAAAAATTACTCAAGTTATCGCGTTCACGGACGTATATATATATATATACTAGCTGAGTACCCGTCCTTCGTACGGGGTTGGCATATAAGTATAAAATACTTATTGCAGTTATACTGAAGCCTTGCGTTCGCAATGAGGGTGGACAAAGTTTGATAAAATTTGCTTCTTTAAATTTACAGTATTCTATAGTATTACACATCTACCATGGCCATAATGTTCTACCACTTCACCTAAACAATGTATAAAATAAATTATCAAAAATTAAAAAAAAATTAAAATTGAATGAATAATTAATTTCAATGAATAATTAACAACAGAAATATAACTGTAAACAATCCTACTTTGACAGTTCTCATTGCGAATCAAAGTTTTTTTGTTGCTGCTTAGTTAAAATTAGCTGTTTTCATAAATGCATTAAAATATAGTGCTGCACCCTGTTGGTAAATCTTATAACTTTTTAATGCTTTTGCATATCATAGAACCAACTTTTTAAGTTGAAACAGCTGACTAAATATGATTTAATTCTCTTTAAATATGAATAGGTACTCATAAGGTTAACATGGGTAACTACAGAGCCACTGGGGCGGAGCCCGAAAGGATTTTTGTGATAAGAATATGCCTATATGTTAATCGGGAATGTGAGCTATCATCATGCCAAATTTCAGCCCAATCCGTCCAGTAGTTAAGGCGTGATTGAACTTCAAACAAACAAACAAACAAACAAACAAACAAACAAACACACAAACTTTCACATTTATAATATTAGTAAGATATATATATATATAAGTCTATATATATATACATATATAAAAATTTGAACGAATGGTGTTTTTGGCCTCTGGGGACATCAAAATGAAAAAGTAAATCGGTCCCGGGTCTAGGTCTTACCGTGCCACCTACGGTAATAGCTACTTCCCTATAGGGCAATTCGCTAAAAGGTAGGTGATTGTTTTAATGAAAGAAAAATAAGGCAAGAAAAAAGAGGAATTAGAAAATCTGCTCTTGAAACATTAAAAGCTCTTAGCCCAAACAAAAGTAACCTGCGTAAAATAATCAATACGCCAATTACAAGCCCAAACAAAAGTATAGAATCAATAAATGTGAAAATCTGATCTCTTTCAATGATTTAAACTTGTTAACACGTTCAGTGCTGACTACATCAATTGATATAGTCGCGCAACGAGCGGCCTACATCAATTGATGTAGTTGCGCAACCCCCACCACATTAGTTCAGTATGAGCTCAGCCATTGCCGGAGAACGTTAAAATCGTTGCTAGCCTGTAGCTTAGAATGTGAGCTTTATTTTGGTGTAGGTTGGTACTAAAATTTCCTGTAAAATCCCGTCTGACATTGCTTTTGTCCCGGTTTCGGGGATTTTCTCTCTTTAAGCCATATTACAAAGCCACTGACTAGTGATCTAGGCAGTGCTGCTACCTTTGGGTGTTTTACAATCGCCGCTGCTCTTTTGTTATTTGTCAGATTGAAATATTTGAATGCCAATTGCGTTCGCTGTTACGGTACCGCGCCATTGGCGAGCGCCTGTTGGAATGCTGTGTACTGAACGTGAAAAGTTATATGACCTTATGAAAAGTTTTATGACACAAGACAACTATTTTTCTTTGACCAAAATTAAATTATTTAGTGTTGTAAGTTATGCGTTATAAGGGACATTTTATTTAAAAATATATTATTAAAAACTGAGGTGAGTGTAAGCATCATCACTCTAAGTAAGTTAAGCTAAACAGATAGTTTAGGCTACAAATCCATAGTTGTTGAATTTTATTTATATATTATCACAATTTATTGTAAATATGTTAGAGCAGATCAATTGAATAAGTTTCTTAGTTAATTATTTGTTAACTAGTCTACTATTTCTATGAATATCACCTATTGTCATTATTAATTTCTGTATAAAACTTGAAAAAATATATTATTATTTTATCGTATAGGTAACTGTTAATAAATACGTTATAAAAAAACGATATAGTCATAAATCTAAATTTTAAGAACAAAATTCACGACAGAGCAAGCGCAAAAACAAGTATGAGACACTGTAGGCCTACTTCTGCGTGGGACAGCGCCCGTGGCTCGAGGGGAGGGGGGCTGGAATTACTTTTCGAGCGCTAGTGGGTTAGCCCTTCTATGTTAGTAGTCCTAGTCAAAACCGCTAAATTAGCACCCAGACCCAGTTAGGGTTATACTCCTTTTGTAAAGGTCTAACAAAATTAAGTGTAAAGTAAAGGTATCCCATTGGCCAAACTTAACCCTAGATTTGTTTCTGATCAACATTAAAACACTACTATTAGCCTAGTGTAAGTTGATGTGGTGGTATTCCTCCTAACGGTGCGGTTGACTTTACATATTCTAACTATTTTGCGACTGGTTAGGGTTCCATTACCCAGTTATCGAAACCAATCACGAAATTACTTTTCATCAGCATCTTCGACATGCATATTTTTGGTTATTTGCAAGAAACAAGACTATTTCTACTAGTGTAGTGTCTACTCTTCCTTCTGGTCTTTACTAGAGATCATATTAAAGTCACTTATTACTAACTAAATATTTTACATATGTTGATTTTAGTATTGTTAATGT